TGCTCATTTCAATTAGCGCTCAAAATTCTATTAGTATTTTCTTCATTCAGTATTGTTTTGAAATAAACCTTGACAATTTTCCCGAATATATTTTAATCTATTAGTTGATTAAGATTTACAATAATTTGGGAAAAATTTACGAAAACTAATTAATATTAATCAACAAACAAATTGATTGCTAACTGCATTCCTCGGCGTAAAGATGATAATATACATGATGACCGCAATCAGAGCTTGACTCTAATATAATTGCTTGCTCTCACAAATCGGCCTGTTCTTCTGATCCAAGTAATCTTGCTAGGTAAAATAGTATTGATTTAGCAAATAGTGCAGAGTAAGCACTTGCATTCTTATTCGATACACAGAATAATAGTTTTTCGGCAGAAAAAAATTTTGCATAGTTGGAAAAAAAATTTCGCCGTGAATTGCTTTAGTCCTCTCTCTACCATACGATTTTGAGCTTATTATCGTTTAAACTCATTAAGCTAATTAAGGCACAATCAACTGCCCTCGACATTGTCTTTCTTTCGAATTATTTTGCCTATAATTATTGTATAAAATATGTTCGAAATTACATCACATGTATTGTGAAATCAATATAAAAAGTTATTCAGTGGAGCAGTGAGCTGATTTTCACATAGGTTATAGACTTCAGCATTGTCATTTGGCATAGTATCAAGATCGGCGGCTGAAAGGTAGTAGAGGTTTGTCCCTGAGAACTCCGTGTATTTCAATGGAGTGTCTCTTTTTCTCCCATGCAGACTAGTTGGAGTCTCTTTTTTCCCCGAGTGGGGGGAAAAGAGACACTTTCATGGAGTTCTTCGCACTTTGGATCAGGTTGAAAATCGGTCAGGGTTTTCTAGAAGATTTCTGTTCGTGGTAAAAAGCGCTTGTGAATGACTTCTATTATCATAGTAGAATAGAAATCAGACAAGCTTGTGCACCAAGCCAGACGTTTTAAGTAACAGAGAATATCGAACTCCACTCCAACCTGGAAGTAACTAACTGAATTCGTAACTTATGAGCTTTCTTTCGACAAAAATATGTACGAAAAAAACCTTCTACATTCTAGGGTTTCGAATGATTCATAGAAATGAAAAACCAATATACTTGTTGATAAAACTGTAAGAAACGCCTGAATGCTAAATCCTAGAGTTTAGTAAACTTAAAAACCCTACAACGTTGAATGAAAAATCACACGGGCTTAATAAGACACTTTATTGAGTTTTTTACCTGCTTCGCGAAATCTTTCAATCTTCAGAAAAAAATCTTAGTTGTTTTGCTAAACCGTAGTTTAAAAAACGCTAAGGTTCAGTAAGCCTTATAAATCATTTAGCTCTTTTTAAAAGCTTTTAGATTTTAAAGAACGACTTAAATATTCTTATGGGTTTAGTAACGTTTCCTAAACCCATTAGTAGACCCTTTGGGTTTTATTCATGACGCTGTTTTTCAGAGTATACATTAGGTAAACACCTTCATTTGTTAAAACTGCGCTATGTCATCCATGATAACTCAGGAAAAATTGTTAAAAATTGGCTAACTACTGCGGTGACTTCCAGAAAACTTCTCAAAAACCTATCACCAAAAACTGACTGGACTGTCAGCATCTGATTGTTTGAATACATATAACTAAAAATCATAAGAAACCTCTATGGTGACCTGATACAGTCGAAAAATAATAGAGAATTCGCAAGCACGCCATATACATCAATACGCATTATGATCATCCATTGCATACCAAAACGAATTCCCAGCGAATGCGAATTCATTTTTTAGCAAATCAAATTCTAGGCGAATGTGTATTTTCCAAGCTATGCTTCACCCCGTAAAAAACGCTACAAGGGTATCCACTACCACGTCCGAACCACTGAACTGTCCCATTTTGACCACGTCATAAAATAATACAGAATTTGCAATCGATCGCTACCTGACCTAGATGGTGACCCAAACTAGTCAGACAATTGTAGAGAATTCGCAAATATATCATATACACCAACATGCATTATAATGAATTCCCAGCGAATGCGAATTCATTACTTAGAAAATCATATTCTCGGCGAATGTGTATTGTGCAACCTATGGGTTTTCGAGAAAGTTTTCCAGAAATCTTCCGAAGTACAACAAAAATAGGGTACATCTTGTTTTCTAATGTAATATGAATGAATCTTGATTGGGTTATGAATTTTTTAGTTTTACTCAAAGACAGGCAAAAATGAGTTATCTCATCTAATATAGGTTTTCACTAGGTTTTTCATAGTGTTTTGAAAAACAAGCATTGCCACGAGATTTCGCGTAGTCGATTACCTATGTTTCCATTTAATTTCGGTACTGCCACAGCTAAAGAAATATTGATCCTAGGGCTCTCAGGAAAACCGATGCCACGTCTGAACCGGAATAAATTAAGAGTTTGCTTAGCATTCATTTTCGAGAGGACACTTTGGACTATCTGTCTATGGAGAAAGGGTGACCTATTTCTATGCCAGTTCTCAGAGATTCAAGCTGGTTTTCCAAAGATCTGCTGAAAATCCGGTCTTTGAATTTTTTCAAAATTATTTCTACTTGTAAAAGGATGTTTAAAGGATGCTTACAGGTCTTGGCTATCCAAACCTGAAAACCGCAAGTCTCTGTCTGCTTTCATTCTGGAGTTATTCAAAAACCAACCGCCTATCTTGTATTTTGGGAGGATAGTAGAAGTTACTTATCAGTGATAAAAAATTTCAGATCGCTATCTTTTACCGTTACAAAGATACAGTTCATATAAGGTGAAAGAAAGGAATTCCGTAACGCTTGGCCGTATCTATATGAAACTGACACTGAAACGTTACATTGAAAGTATTAGGAGCTAATGAACCAGCACTCACAGCTAGCCTTGGATATTTCAAATATTGTTCGAGTATTGATTTACCAACGGCATTTATGGAAACGGAATTGCATTGTTTTGAAGCTCACGCATATGATCTGAAGAATGAACATGCAATGAAAGTGAAGAAGGGACTAGATCACTATGACTGAAAAACCTTGGAACTGCTGGTGTCCACTGGAAAATAAACTACAGATTTTCCGATGTTATAAACTATGAAGTTGAATAGAAAGAAGCATGTCGAAGAATAACTTCAGAGTACAATTAATACTTTTAACAAAACGTTTTTTCTAAAATAAAGATAAAAAAATTTGATTGCTGTAGACATCAGACGTATATGTAAGACAGAAAATTAAAGTTGTGCACAACGGTCAAAATTGCTACAGGTAACCAATGATCGATAATTTAGAGCACAATATATCAGTACCTATCAATTTAGGACTAATACCAATCATAGACTTACTAAATGATAGTTTATAAGTTGTATCATCAGTGGTAGTTGTTTAAAAAATATAAGCGAAAACTACAATTTGTATTTATTGTAAAAATGCATTAGGTAGAGATTTTGCAAAGAAGTCGATTTTCTGTACGACACGAGCATTACTTCAAAACGTATGTTCTTCTTGATGCCAAATATGTTTGTCCGCCGATAATTTTCTCTCTTAAATGGCAACTTTATGATCTTAATTTTGTCTTCTCCGGATCATAAAATGGGTATTTAACAATGGTTGCTTTAATTCGTTTCTGATAACCATCTAATTTTCCAATTTCGACTCTATTTCCCACCTGACTATGTTCAGCACTTATTCGTGCAAGTGCTATTGATTTATTCAGAATAGGTGATTTGCAACCACTGGTAACAATACCAATTTGCTGACGACTATTTTCCAAGTGCACACAGTCACCATGTGATCCTATTTCACTACCACCATTACAGTGTAATTCTAAACCAACTAACTTTTGCCGCTGATATTCCTTTCGTTTGATTAATGTTTGTTTACCAATAAAATTCTCTTGTTTAGCAAAGTCAATAGCAAATTCAATACCCGCTTCGATTGGATCTGTTTGCTCATCAAATTCATACTCAAAAAATATTAAACCAGCCTCAATTCTTAAAATATCTAAAGCTAACAGTCCCAGCGGTTTTAAATTAAACATAGGATTTTGACCATTTAACCAAATTTTTTCCCATAATTTGACAGAATTTGATGGATGACACCATATTTCATAACCTAATTCGCCGGTATAACCTGTCCGTGATATTAACAATGGTATTTCACAGGTTCCATCAAGATTATCCATTTTTCCAATTGTAAAACGAAACCATTTTAACTCGCTGATAGTTGGGCGTTGTGAGGTTGTTCGAATGTTTAATGATTTTAATAAATCTCGTGACTTAGGACCTTGAATGGAAACATTGTGTATTTGATCCGTTGATGTTTTAATCCATACACGATGTAATTCTAATTTGTGTGCTTGCTCACGCAACCAAATGCCTAAAACATACAAAACACATTGATGAATAGATGTGATACGCCTTCTACCTTCTTAGTTTTTCTAGACAATATATTATTCACATTCTCTCAAACCACCATGAGCTAGACGCCACGAATATCACCTGTGTAATGGCAATAAGATGTTGACAACGAGATATTTGTATTTAGCTGTGTAGAAAACAACAGCTTGCATTTATCCACTTCAGTTTTACCATCGTCTTGAAAGCGATCTAATTAATAAAGTCTTGGACTCAACTGGCGTCCTTATACAGAAAAAAAGCAAAAGTACACATTTTTTCTTAAAGCTTATGATTATGATAAGAAATGAGTGAATATCAGGAACTATCAGCTTATGCACAATTGTATCTGATGGGATCCTGCCCTCGTGATATATCGCTACTATACCGTTGTTCGCTCATATTTCAGTGGAAACTGGCTGTGCAAAAATCAGAGAATATATTGATAGTTTCTTTCATGATCAACACTAAGTGAGTATGTAGAAGCATGCAAACATGCACTTTTGATTTCTTTTAACATACGGGCTTCAGTTAGAGTCCACAACTTTAATAACTAGATCGCTTTCAAGATGATGATGGAATTAAAGCAAATAAATGTATGTTGTTAATATTTTATCTAACAGTATATTTTAGCTTCTATGTGTTAGTTCTTTGCTAACCTACCCGTATAATCTGAACCACATACTAGACGATAACGATCTTGATTCAATTTAAATAGTGTTCCATCATCAATCATGCCTGCGGTATCTGGAAAAACGAAAAAAATATTTTTTATTTAAGCTGCAAGTAATTGATACTCATCCAATTGTTACTCGCCTGAACAAATAGCTGTATAGGTAATTTGTCCGATCGACATTTTTTTAATACTTCGTGTTAATGTTATTTGTAGCAGGTTTTCTGAGTCTGGTCCTAATATCTCAAATTTTCTCAATGGTGATAAATCCATAATGCTTACATGTTCTCTACATCCCCAATACTCATCTAATATTCCATAATTTCTATATTCTGTTGCCAGCCAATAATTTCTATAATCGACAAATGTTTGTGTTAATTGAGAGGTACATGGATGAAATGATGTTTCTCGTGTTAAGCGTGGCACCGAATCAGATGTTATTCGATAGGCAATACCTTTTGATATTGGTGTGATTGTTGTATCATAAACACGAACATGAATATCCGTCGGATTCCAACCGTTAGCTGCATCGATATCATCGGGACAAGCAGATGAAGCACAAATTATGTTTGTTAATGCTCTTAAAAGAACATAATCCCCTGGACGAGACCATGGTTCATCGAGATATAAAACCATTGAGCGATCAAATGCTGTATTATAAAAGAAATTTATTGCAGGCCATCCGCTTCTTGGTTTGATACGTGGATAATATTGTTTCAACTGCATATTAAAATTGTCTGTACAGTTTAGATGTCCGAAATATCCTTGGTCATCGTAGTATTTTGATGCACATGCTAAACCAAATGTGTCATGTCTACCGACTGTATCCTGTATGATTTCCACCAATGGAATCATTTTAGAGTCAAAAAATTTTGAATATAGCACGCCTGGTTTTGGATTTGCTATGCCATTCAATGTACGTGTTGTTGTTACATCTAGACCATACTCTTCTTCGCCATCTTTGTTATTATTGTTAAATGCTAAAAAGTCAGAGCACTGTTTGCCATCGACATCAATTATTTGAATATACTCTCCAGCTTTTATTTCATATGACTGGGCTGTTGAAGATTGAATACGTAAATCTAGGCGAATATTACAACCTAATATTGGTGGAGGAAGTGTTGAATGTTGTTCACGATAATCTGACCGTTGGATAAATACAAGAACCTCTGTTGCTGGTAAAATATTTTCCTCATGATCAATCATCTCAGTTCCCGGACAGCCAATAATGGCAATTAACGATTCATCAGTATTAATTTGAAATTGTTCTTTGGAGTTCATACTGTTACCATTCAATAGTTTTAATGTTTTTAAGTCATTTTTCTTAAATAAGTCGATATGATGCTGTCTCAATGATGAATGGATTCGTTCTAAATCGATCTTAATATCTTCAGTTAAGGACCTTCGATCATCTGTTTTTAATATAGTCAAAAAATTAGTTGATATTGGCGAACAATCAAACGATGTCTCGGATAATAAAGTGTTGAATACTGTTTTGACGTTCGAGAGGTCATTGCCTCTTTTGTCGAATATCAATAATTCAGCCGCTTGTTTACCTAAAACGAAGCCGAGTATTATATTATATACTTATATATATTTGTGACTGTGTCTCTGCGTAGAGTTTAGAATAATTATCAATGCGTGATCTGGTGGAAATTGTAAATATCGAACACTGAGCTCTATTACTTAACAAATATGATTATTAAATTTATACAGCCGATCCCAAAAATGTTATTCATAAGATGCCTTTTCCAGAGTGTTAGTGCTTTTAGGACTCCAACTTTTGCTGTATAGACTAGTCCAACAGCAAAAATTTTTATAAGAAAAATGTGTCTATTTTTCTCGATACATAAAATGTACGCGGTGTCAATTTTTCTGCTCTTCATTATTAGATGCTTTCACCGTACACGTTTCCACAACTGTAACTTTTAACTTTTTTCGATATTTTTAGTCTTCTACATATTTATCTTTCGATATATTTACCTTCGACATTTTTACGTTTCTCTATTTTTACTTTCGATATTTCTAACTTTCGACATTTTTATATTTCGCTATTTTTCCTTTCGACATTTTTATTTCGATATTTTGACTTTCGATATTTATGTTTCGATCAAAGTGTAGGGAATCCTCTCTTATCCTTTGCTGGCCAGAGAGTTAAGAATCTGATTTTTTACAGGAAAAATTTTATTTTCATCTTCAGCAGATAGAATAGTTTTGGTTGTGTTTCATCTGCTTTCGGCAAAAACTGTACATTTGGCTATAGCGAATTCATAAAAAAATATTGTTCAGCTCTTTAAAATATACTTCAGAGCTCTTTTTGTTTTCTCTGGCTAGACTCTACGCTGAAACCTAGCTATCAAAAAGTGATAGCTTAGCTCCCGCATCTCTAAAAGCTACACATCAGCTTTTGGAGATGAGAATGAAAACAAAATTTTTTTTTGTGTAAAAACCAGATTCTCACCTCTCTGGTCCCCAAAGGACGTAGTCCAATGTTCATAGTGATCCCAGGACGTCCGATTAGAAAAGTCCTAAAAGCACTAAAGGTCTGAACTTGTTGACGAAAACGCCATCTTCCAAATAACTACTTATGTAATTAGGTTCTACTTTATGTAATTCATAAACTGTCGAACATCTCGCGGTTAGTTAGACGCATAATAGTGCTCTGTAGTGCTAGTTTGAAAAGAGGGATAATATATATTAGTCGTGAACATAATAAGAGAAAACTTCTTCTATTACCCACCCTCTGGATCGATTAATGTCACAACATCATTTTTATTTAAAGTAACAATAATTGCTCCATAGCCACTAACTCTATAACGTTCGGTTCCTTTTGGATAATCATAGATGTTCGTTGAATTTGCCATTATTTTGTTTTATTCCTCTTTTAAACTTTACACTTTCTTCACTGTTGCGTTCGTCTATATATATATATATAAAAACTAACTGCTTATCTAATCAATGTTACCTTTTTTTCATTCCTTAACTAAACTCAGCCACGTGAACCTACACTTAATAAACTACACTTAATTCAGTCATGTGTTAACATGAGATATCCACCGTGTTTCAGGCTTAAATGTTTTTTTATTGCATGTGCCAAGATTTGGAAGATGAATACAATTGTTCATTTAAGGAAGGGAGAGGGGCTTTAACCATCCCCAAACCTGTCCTCAAATTATGTCAGTCTACAGAGTGCGTTGAGTACTATGCATCTTTAAGAAATTTCGACGGTCCTATGAATACTGGAGAAAATTATGAATTTTTCTAACGTTAGACTTTGGTCAAAGTATTCGATCTAACGGCTAATTTTCGATATTTCATAAGTCAGTCATTCAGAAATAATGACAAAAATTTGGTTCAAGTATATTTAGACGCTGAATTATTCAAAGTTATTACGTATGTAAAAAAGAAAGAAAAAATTTCTATTCGGTAGACTTTTTATAAATTTTTTCTCTAAAATCGATGTCAGTTCACGTCAGTGAAGTCTGGTCGTCTGCATTCTTTTTTTTCTTCACCAAATATAACTAATTAGAATTTTTGAAGTTCTTCTTCTAGATTCGATCTGCCGAATCTTTCATACGCTGCACTTCTCCAACTACGTATTTTCCCATTACACTAAATTGTACAAAAGGAAACTACGAGTTATGCTAATACATTCGTATGAAGACCGTACACTTACGTATATATTTAAATAGTCTTTATTGTCCTGTCCGTAAAACCAAAAAAATGCCGGTGGCTATATCTTTAATAACTTTTGAACAATGCACTTCGAAGGCTTACGGTTTTCAACATTTTATAGAGGAAATAATTAGCTACAAGTTGACATAATAATATCTCAGAAAATACCACCTGCAGGGTGCATACCTTATTTATCTTTGATATCTTATTTAATTTCTCTCAAAAAACATCAGAATGAGTTCAGAATTCCAGGATATTATTAATGTTGTCCACTAAACGTAACTATAAGATCTAAGAAATCGAAAAGTATATTTTTGTTAATAGGCTGTCCAGAAACCCTTTTGGAAAACCTTAGGGCTTTGTAAAATTTATTTCAAGATCCCCTATAAATAGGATATAGAATAGCTTAAATAGTCCACACTGATCTTTGAACTTATTGAGTGAATAGTGAATTTTTTTATATTAGGTGAAAATAGCCGGAAAAATCCTAATTTTCGTAAAACTCGCTTTTCGCTAGATTTTTGAAATTTTTTCTTAAAAAAGATATTTCCTCAAGACTCAGCCTAGTCGATTATCCATAGTCCATCTGTCCTTAAGGCTACCATGAGTCACTGGGTGCCAGTCCTAGAACTCGTCGAAAATTCGTTACAACGCCCGAACCGCAGAAAATCAAGGTCTCACTTTACTCCCATTTTGAAGAGAACACCCCGGGCTATCAGCTCATGAAAATAGATCAATATATTCCTATGTGAATTTCGGAAAACTCAAGCTAGTTTTCCAAAGATCCTCACAAAAATTGGCTCCGAAGATTTTATCGAAAATCAGTTTTGCTTATGAAAAGTAAGCCTCAAGTCTTGGCTATCGAATGATGAAAATCGCACGTCTCTAACTTTATCGGATGCTGAGTTTTTCGAAAAATAACTACTGGTCTTGTATTTTGGTTCCAATAGTAGTTTGTTGCAATGGGGAAAATAACATCTAAATTTTCACATAACTACAAATAGCAAAGATTTGGAACGTATTCTACAACTAGCGTTTCTCTTCTCATCCATCATTTGTGCGAACTTTTTTCAACCAATTGATCACTGATATTAACTTACGCTTGAATTCAACAGACCACATATTCTGTAAAATCGTTCAGATAAAATTACCGTCTTAGAAATAGTCTAGAAAGCATTTCAGATGAAACACTATGCACAATGAAAACCGCGTTTCAGGATCGAGTCTGCAACTACGGAATCGTTTCAGAAACCAAAGATGAGACTTGGCTACCCAGGGGTTTGTCCACGTAACGGTACACTTTGCTGATAAAGTTTTTGAAAACATCTTTTTCAATATAGAAAGTTTTGAACACACAAGTTTTGAACTGTTCAGAAACCGAATTTTTAATGTTTTAACCAAAAACACCTTTTAAAACAAATTTCTAAAAATATACTTTTGTAGAGAATTTGAATTCTCTACAAATGGCGTATTTGTTTTTGAGTTTACTTGCTATGTGCAATTTGTACATAGTTGTACAGTTTCCGACTTACTGTCCAGTTTTTGAGCTCTTATTTTGATACAGCAACTTGATTTTTGCGCAGGTCGATCAAATACACAAAGAACACAAAAAGCCGTGAAAATCGAAACTTTACCATGGTGTTAAGTGTCTCAAATATGCTTGAAAAAAATTTTTTAAGTAAGGGTTTATGCGCGATTTTTGTGTAGTTTGATAGAGTAACGTAAGTTGTATACACCCTAAAATTTTCTCGATGATTGAATGAGTACTCTCAGAGAAAAACGATTTCTCTATTATAGTACATTTTCGCTACTAAAAAGTATTGTCCTGTGGTTGTGCGTTTAATGGAAACTTGGCTCAACCATAGTATTTTAGATAGGGATCTATGTTGCATATCTGACGTAGCAGAGAGGGAACTTGTGCTAAACTTTTATAACAATCACTGCAACATTTTACTGTTATAGTTATTGTGAAGGAAATTTGACACAATGTTTACTTATGTTCAGTCATCCCAAGACTAAATCATCTGATACATATATGACAAAAGTGTGATTTGTCCTTTTAAACCCTTCTTCATACTTCGCATAATGATGAAAGGTTGCCGCACTGCACCTAGAAGACTTCAATCTACTTCTGCTTCTAAGTACGAAAACTGAATTATTAACTGAAAAGTCTTGAGGAGTCTTGGTGAGTTTGTCCTTATTCTTATGCTGCTGTCACATTTCGACCTTTTTTTACATTAGTAAAACATTAGTGATATTTCCAGTGACCGATTAAATGTATACAATTTCTGGGTAGGTTAATTCTTGCATCTACCTACTCTAGTAATCAACAGTGGTGATTGTTATTATATGTGTTGTGTGTGTGTAATTTAACAGGTATTCATCATTAGCTTTTTGATCTGCTAAATGACATATCTGTCATTTGAAACTGTATGGTGTGAACACCCAGAGAGAAAAGGAAGAGATTGAAGTTTATATATAAGTATTGAAAAGTCAGAAAAAGTGTATATATATTCCACCATTAACAAACAAGTAACCATCATAATAAAGCTTCTTCGAAAGAAAATAGACAATGTTTAGGCTCAATTTTTGTGTTCTCTCAATATTAATAGCAATTATTAGCCAAATTATGCGTACACCTGTTATGGTAAGTATGTTAAGGTGCAGGCAATTGAAACTTCGAGTAAAAAGAATTTTGCACATTTCGAAAAAGATGTGTTTTTCTTGAAAAACGACATTTCTCGAGTACTTTGTATTTTTCGACCGGAAGGAAGCATTTGCTATGGCTAAAAACTAGATTTTCGTGATCAGCAGCTTATGCTCTATCAATTGGTGTAAAAAAAGGCGAAAAAATCTTTTTACTCGAAGTTTCAATTGCCGGCACCTTACTTTGCTCTTTAGTGATACCTTTTTGCGCCTAAAGATAAGTATAAACGGTATTTTTTACCGGTATCATGCAAATCGAACGCAAAATTCAATTACATAGTGCAAAGGCGACTATGACTTTCACGTTGAATTTTGACCACAAAACGGGATATATGTAGGTTTGTAGAGGAAGACTTCCTCTATCCAATGGTGTATATATTATCAAATTCTGTTGCGTACCGTGAGAGAAAATTAACGGTAACCCCACATTTTTTAGACATTTTTTAGACATATTT